TGCGTACGTTATCGTCTCTGACAGACAGCATGTTGAAGCCGCTCAGGCCGCCATTTTCCCCTTCTCAGAAAAAGCGGTGATGTATAGTCAATCGTGGGTTTTCCAGGAAATGCGTGACTCCCTGGAGCTCTGATTCTCCTAAACACTGCCGTGTATTGTGCACGTTATTTTTTGACAGACATCGAAGTTATGATATTCAAATGATTTGAAAACACATGGATCGTACGGTAATACTTATTTATTTCTTAGCTGGCAAGTGTTCAGTGACGTGATTGATGCCCATGATGTCAGTGTTTTTAGGTCTAATATTTTTAACCGACGGGTAGGGCTGCAACGATTAGTCGACGTTGTCGACAACGTCGACAATAAAAATGTGTCGACAAATATCTTTGTTGTCGAGTAGTCGTTTGATCTCACGTGACCTAATGTAAGGGCCTGCAATATCGCGATTTGACCGCTACGGCGCTGTAGCGCTAGAGTGTAGTGCAGCCCTTACAAATGCTATTGCGGTAGAAGAGAAAAGTGAGTGTTCTCCAGCTGGAGCTTACTAACCAGCGGTAAATCTCTCTTTATTAGAGAATGCAATACTACTAATAATAGTAATAATATTATCAATAGTAATATAATTACAGTAATGTGATGACTTATTTTGCATAGAATAAAGCTTGATCGAGCTTAGGAGTCAGGGCTGTTTTTATTATTGTAACACTATTAGTATATTAGGTATTATTATAGGCTAGTCTTATCACTTGCCTGTATTTTGTTCAATAATCATGAATACTTACAAAACGAGATGTTATATGCTTCCTATGATATAGGAAGAATATCATGGCAGTTACTTTATCATACTATAAATTAAAAGGTGAATGAGAACGTCTCTGTCAGCTCAATTGTCATGTAAAAAAAGATTGTAATTTTATAATTATAATAATTGTTTGCAGATTAATATTTTGCCATTCTTTGTGTCCTGAAGTAAATGTCCCTTTTTCTGTTTCAGTTCTAAGAAAAGCAGTGGGCCTATTAAACAATGCTTAGAGAGCATTTGTGTGTGATTTGAGTTGGACCAAAATCTGAAAACTTAAAGAGAATGACCTGTTTAGTTGGCTCAAAGTTCATTAAAACAACTATTTCAAAAGCTGAAGTGATTTTCTTTTTTTATATTATAGTTAGAATATGTATAACTCAATGTTTTAACTAATTGGAAAAGCTGAATAATCGTTCCAAACTTACTGATTAGTCTGCAAAATAATCGACGATTAGTCGATTAATCGTTCTAATAATCGTTAGATTAATCGATTATCAAAATAATCGTTTGTTGCAGCCCTACCGACGGGCGTGAGAACATGCATGAGGGGAGAATCTTTGGCTTTTTGGTAATTATAAAACATGCTGGAGATGTTCAAAATGCTTTTTGCATAGTCCATTATAATTATTTTACGGAATGAAGTTTATTTCGTGGCTTACATATTACTCAGAGACTGATATGTTTGTCTTGTCAAAAATATTACATTCATTTTTCGCAAATTCGTTAACCTATGAAAATCAAGTTATTTTTTTACCAGGAAAAGAGTGGTTTTTGATGGACAACTTTATTTTATTATTGTCTCGTACAAAAAAAAACCCCATGGGAATGCAGATCCTGTTGTTAATAATAGTTGAAAAATCTCTTTTTAAAACTGTTGTTCCATTATTACCCCGTAGATTTTGACTTGGTGTGTATGTTGCCTCTTTACAAAAACAGTTTATTTCTTAATTAAAAAAAATATTTCTTTTGCCCTTTTAAATTCATTTGTCTAGGTGGTGTAACTGTCCTGAGATCATACAAATGAAAAAATGTCTCGCTAAAAGGCTGATTTAAAAATAAAGACAATTATATATTTGCTATAAATTAATATAAACTTCAAAACAAAATCTGTGGTATAACCAGCTTACAGACAGCCATTATTGTCATGTGACAAGAAAACCCATATAATCTGCCAAGATTATTTGACCTTTAAATGTATGTTTTTGAAAATAATAATATAAACTATTTAAAATGTTATAATTTTCATTGAATGGTTGAGCACTTATAGTGTTTTGAAAATAAATGGGTGAAACACTTACTGTAAACAAAATGAAGAAACTTTTTATTGAATATAGATTTGATATGTACAGAGAAGCTTTGTGTACATTTTGACACATCAGGTAAAAACTTTGTGTAAAAACCATTTTCACTGCATACAGGAATCGAACACCATAGTACCTATGAAGTGGACAACAAAATGTCATACAAATACATTAAAATGTGCAGATTACTCTTAGCTTTCTTTTAACGATTAAAACAAATGCGGTATGATCAAAGTCAAAAGATAATAATAATTTCATTTTAAAAATATGTGCATTTGGCGACACGTTCAACTTTTTTAACATATAAAAACATCCCTCATCACAGACACTTCCCATCGAAAACATCTCATGTATACAATGTGATATATAATAGTAGATAAGCAGCCAGCACCTAAAAAAAACAAAAAAACGCTGCTGTTCTGGAAATGTGTTCTCTGTTAGTAGATACAATACTAGAAGCACATCATGTCGTACCACAGAACTCAAAACAATCTTGGGAGGAAGAACCAAACCTTTTCTCGGGGAATGTACTGAACGTTTTCCACGATGAATGGATGCGAGACCGAGAGAGACGCCAGGCGGACTCACTTTAAGAGACTTGGAGGAGAGAGAGTACATTGGTCAATGGACTTGGCTTTCCTTTTTGTGAGAGCTTATTAAGCTCTTTTAGCTTTAGCTCTGAAAAATGTGGCCAAGTGTTTCATGTTCCTGCCAAGATACAGTTCATAGACAAGAGAGAGTCATGTTACAGGCACTGGTGATACACAATCCCATGCAAAACCCACACATGCATACAAATACCAAAAAATATAGAGAGCACATAAAAGCCACATGACATTTGTTAGAGTGGTTTAGATTTCTGAATGAACGGTTAAAAGACAGCTAGATTTAAAGGGATAGCCACTGAAAAATAGTCACGTTAAAATAGACAGTCTCAAGCTGTAATATAAAACAACGTTGTTCAGAAGTGCACAACTTTTACTTTACTTTTTTTTTTTTTTGTCCTTTTCAGAGCTTGACAGCTCCTTTTGTGAGAAAAGTGTGAACTACACTTTTGTGTTCCACAGAAAGAAAGTCAGACATGTTAGGAACGACATGAGGGGAAAAAAAGAGACAACACATTTTCATTACTAGGTGAACTTCTCCTTTAAACAGGTTCTCGACCCTATCCGTGGCTACTGCGGTGTGAGCTGTAACCTGAGCTTTGTTGTGTTATAGTGGAACACGTGCGCGAGCAACTGCCCATTAACCTGTGCGATAAAAACTAAAGTGCTGAACAGAACTGCTCTCCGCCTGAGCCGCTGAAACCAAAGACGGTTCGTGAGACAAAGGTCAGTCACACCCACACCTACTGGGTCTAAAACTAATGCACACACACACACACACACGTTGGGTTGCCATGTTTTATGGGGACTTTCCATAGACATAATGATTTGTATTCTGTACAAACTGTATATCCTCTCCCCTTACACTAAACCTGCCCATCACAGAAAACTTTCTGCATTTTTACATTTTCAAAAAACATAACTTATTATGATTTATAAGCGGTTTTCCTCATGGGGACCAAAATGTCCACACAAGGATTTTGGATATTTCCATCTTTGTGTCCCTATAACGTAGGGTTTCCCAAAAGAGACACACACACACACCCTGGAAGTCACAAGAATACAGTCTTGATAGGAAGCGTAGTCAACATGAGTTCAAAATACACACTATTTACTTTCTTAATACATGTTCCTGGTGTTATTATGCAAGATTCATATGTGCATGTTATTCATAACCCCCCAACATTTTGTAATCTTTCATAAAAATCTAAAAACATGCTCCGCCTTTAAAACGATTTTACATTGTGGATGACATCATCAATCCCTCTTGTTTGTAAGCCCCTCCCCTCCAATCACAATCATATAGTGAAAAATGTTCACATTTTCACTGATTCCTGATGGATAAAATTACATTTAATCTCACTGAATAGCCATTTCATGTTGCATTTAAAGGTGCAGTATGTCATTTTAGTAGCACCAAACCATGTTTGTTATTATTCTTCAAAAAATTTTTTTTAAGAAATTAAAAATATATATTTTTAAAAAGTACCTAGTTTTTAATGAATTCCCTCATTCCTGGTCTGGGATGTATTGCAGTAAGAAGGGGGAGAGCTGTACATTTACTGGCTTATTAGTGAAGGAACAGAGACGCTAACTGGAGGAAGGAGCAGAAGAATCAATTATAAAGTGGGTGGAGATGGAAGGCGTCACATGAGGAGCAATTGAGAAATATGACGGGTTAATGGGGTTTTCCGTAGCAGAGAGTTGGAGGGTTGTGGGGTCATAACCTTTTCACACTCTATTAGCTGAGTTCAGCTACTCTGCAGGAGTACATGGGCTAAAACACACACACACACACACACACACACACACACACACACAGATAACATTATCATTAGGGTAACGTAACAACCTCATTCTCAGTGCTATGATGTAAAAATAATGATATATTTAAGTTGTAAAGGATTGATACATTATAGATATTTGTACTGGATTTATGCTGATTTTAAAAGAAGAAGAATTAGCAATTTTTGTTTTAAATCTTGTATTAACGTAATGACAGTCTAATGAAAATTTGAATTTAGAGAAATCTGAATTGTCAATTTTTGGGGCAAGTAAATTTCAAGAATTCCCCGCACATGACATTCAGGGGAAACTACAAGATATTGTGGCCACAAATTAAGAATTTGTTACTTTTTATATATATATATATATATATATATATATATATATATATATATAGTGGCATCAACTTATCTAAATTAAAAAAAGGAACAAATTGGTACAAACTATTTTATACTAAGTCAATTATAAATTAGAAAACCTTTTTTTCCCAGTTTTACTTGACGTGTAATAAACTGGAATTTGAATTTGTTCCCATAACAGTTGTGGGAACAAATTCTTATTCTAATTTGTATTCCACTTCATGCGAAACAGTGACATTTTTCATAGACCTAGAAACAGGCTAAATATTGCATATATTTTTCTTTGATTCTGTGGTGCAATATGACCCAGAAATGTTCCTGACAGGTGTAGTGAAATTCAGTTCTCAGCACACTTGACAAAACACATGATATGTAGGTCACAATATGCTGGAAACAGCCATGCATCGACTGTCATGTGATTGTCAAGAGAACCTAGTGGCGTAACGTCAATGAATTCAGTACAAACACATAACAAGTTTGTCAAAAGCAGGGATGGGAGATAGATATTCCATAAAGATTTTCAGTGTGTACATACTAGAGAACAAAAAAAAAACAAATTGGAAAAACCCTCAGAAAAACCTCCAAAACCAATTACTCAGAATCCTCCATATTATAGCTCTGTCTCTTTCCATTCAATGTTATTGCTGTAATACAGTTTTTCCTACAGTTTTGATCTCTCGTCTCAAGAGTAGAAGGGACGGCCCTTCTCAGGGGTCTGTAGACGGTTGAGCCGGGCGAGTTGGGTGGGCGATGGTGGCACATCTTGTCGGTAGGGACCTTTGGGTGGTGTAGGGACCGGGGTTTGGATTGGGGCTGGTGTTTCCTCCATCGTAGGCAGCTTGGTTTTCGCCTCTTGCTCCTTTCGTCTCTGTTCCTGTCTCAGGAGCTCTTGGGTCTCCAGGAGTACGCGGGCGTTCATGCCTGTGGAGGCGGCGCCCAGGTAGCCGTTGGCAGTGCGGGATCCCTGGTAGCTGGAGTAGCGCGGGTTTTCTTTGGTGGTCTGAAAGACATCGCCGGGAGGATAGACTTTATCCCAAGAGTCTTGAGACACGGTGCTAGGGTTTTTACGTGGTTGTCTGAGGAAGACGGAAAGAAGGGTCAGAAACAGACACGGTAAAAAACTCACACAGTGTCCTAATCAGACTAGTATTGTCTAAAGTACCGATTTTGGTACCAAGTCGGTACTGAAAAAAAAAGTGACTATACAAGAATTTCCCTCTAGCATTTTGAGCGCTGTTGAACGGATTCTTAAACACCTCTGATTGGCCATTGCGTTCACACGCTCAATATTTATATCTGTGATTGGCCATTGTGTTCACACGCTCAATATGTGTGTGATTGGCTACATTGATCAACACTTCAAACACATGTTTTCTTCAATGAGTGCTTACACAGATACACACGGGAGCATTTGAAAGCAGGTGTCTATCAGTGGATCCATCTATCAGTGGATATAATACGTATATTAACACCAGAGGTGTTTAAGAATCCGTTAAACAGCGCTGAAAATGCTGGTATCGTCACAACACTAAATCAGACACGCTACGATCCCGCAACACATATTAATCGTTTTTTTGTCCTAACAAGTCATGTCGATGATAAGCTCCAAGGGATACTCTTTTAGAAACAGTTTCTATTTCTGTGACGTCGTGGCTGGAAAAACAACGCAATGATAATTATTGCCTGTGCTTTATTTAATGTTAAAAGCATCTAATATGAGTTTGAATATCAATTTGCGTGATCTTGAAAATAAACAACATTGAAATTAAACAAACAAGTGTATTCCATGACAAAGATCGTTTCAATCTCTCAGTAAGTATTTTTGATGATGTTAAAATGGTTTGATTTACATGAATTTGATTATTCATATCGTTGCAAGAGCAGCAGTGTGCTTGCAGAGAGACTCCGCCCACATGCTCTTATGATTGGATGTGCTTTTTTGATTGATTTTTGTCGTGGCTCATAGTCATGTTGCGTCTGGTTAAGACCTGGTGGTACACTGAAAGAAGGACCTGGATCAAATCTAGAGTCCAGATTATTATAGACTCATCATAACAACCAGCTACAACATGCTAGAATTGTGGTGGCGAGTTGTCCAAGACCAGCGGCTCTCACTTTTTCTTCAGAAAATGTAAAAATCACTGTTAAACACTCTTTTTGAGGCCCGCTAGTGTACTTTACATCAAGAGAGGAAATAACAGGTTACTTCAACGTCCATCCATACCGGCCAATCAATAACTAGACATTTGACAGACTGCCAGGGTTAGATGGCTTTCTTGCCTAAAGGAACAGGGGAAGAAATATCAAACCTACAAATTTCTTTGTCAACGTAGCGGCCATTGTGAGGGGTGTCCACTCAGACTCTCTCCATCTTCTCTCTGCTCCGTTATTAGGATCCATTAAGTGGGAATGTGAAGTAGCTAACGTGCCACATCCCTATGCCTCATGGCTAAATGAAGGCCCGCTCACACCTCACTGGCCTTGCAATCTTAAAAGCGTGTGTGTACGTGTGTGTGCGCACACTTCTGTTGGGATTTCACACATCGGCTCACACAAGAGAGGAGTGCTTTCAAAAACAGGGACAAAAATGTGTTTTATCGTCCAGAATTCAGAATGTGATGGTGAAATAAGGGGTTTTTACATCTTTTTTTGTCACTAGCAAGATGCTAGTGTGTTCTGGGTGACTGCTAGATGATCGTTTACTGGCCAAAGTCTAAAAAAGCCCAAATGTCTGTTATTATGGACGCTAGAAATCGCTTGGGTCCCAATTTCAATGTAAGTTGCCAGTTTTATTGATCGCTATAGGCGACAAAGAAAAGTAATAACACACCTCTCCTCAATAAGCCACATGATTTGAAGCATCATACATGTCTTTCAAAGAAATGGTCTGCAACAAATTACACACCAAGGCTTATAGTTCAAGGTTTAGAACAAACACTTAACGCTATATGAACAAATAGTGATTCATGCCCTTGGACGCACCATTGAATCTCGTAGTTTCCTGAGCTATGGCTCACATTGTTTGGATAATAAATAAATAAAAAATTGAAAATGAATGCAGATTACATTCAAGAGTGTTTGCGTAAAGCATATCAATTTAAGTCAACGGTCATGAAAGGTCTAGTATTTTGAAATGTATAGAAGGTGAAACTGACTAGATACCAATTATTATGTGTTGATTATATGGACAAGAGTACTCGTACGTGACTGCGACGATCGATCAGGAAAACAATGATTGCCCTGACTTTAAAAAATACATTTCTCTTTTTTTTCTGATTGGTTATTGCGGCATTTGGTTCGTGAGGTCTGATTGGTTAGTGTTAGACAGCATGCCTTCCAGACCAGCAAAATAAAGTAAAACTGGACTTGAAAGTGCGCACTGCCAGGAATCACTTTGATCATGAAACACAGTTAAGTGCAAGATGTGCAGTGCCAATCTATCATATGCATAACATTAGAATGAGAACACAATTGTAATTAGAATGTTGTAAATTCTTTAGCTTTAGTTTATCAGCGCACTGTTGGATAGCGCGTCCACAACAAGAGTTACACATCAGACTAGCATGGTCAAGTTCATGTGCGCCTTTCCATGTTTAAGAACTACCAGCCCAACGTAGCAACAGCTTAACCAATGGTGTAAGACTGGGGCGGGGCTATCTGTTTGTTCAACCAATAGCAGACGGGGAAGTATTTGTGAAACCTGTTTAAAAACAGTCATTATTTTTGCAATTCTGCTTTCACACTACACAGTTCACACTTCATAGATAAAGTGATATGCAGTATCTCTATGATAATGTCACGTCACAACGCAGGTAAAAACAATGACAGAATAAGAACAAAGTATTTTCCCCTTTGTCCCAATAGCTACATTATTTGTATCTGAAACACACCTGGTGTGCATCACAGTTTATCAAAAGGACAACAGATATACACACAGAGAACAATATTATCTCAACACCTTGAGTAATGTTTTCTATTTGCTAACAGAAAGCAGAACGTGAGGCTGGAATGCGAGACCTGAATCTTATCTCTGCGACTGAGTGTTGCCGTATTATAACGTGCAGCTGTTGCATGAAGTTGCTCTCTGTTTCACATGACTTGCATTACTGCTAATCAGCGTACACTTCACTTATCTGTCTTATTTTCTGTTCCTCCCTTTCTGTCTCTCTAATCCACCTCCCCAAAAAAGAATCCCTTCATTAGCCAAGTGCTAAATCTGAACCCACGGGGTAAACACACAGTTGGATCCCTGTTAAGCTTGCTTATAATCCATGCAACTGTTGATCAATCCAAGCTGCGTTATGATTGGTGGAGCGGCGACGTTCCAGTAAGTCCTTGCATGGCTAATGAGCGCGCATCTCGGCCGGGTCCTCCAGAGGACAGGGGTCATTTCACACCAGCTTGACCCTGCTTGACCGACGGTATGAGATTATGGGTGGAATGTGCATCAAAGGGCCGCCAGTCGTGCCGGGTTTCCCCAGGGAAAGTGTCAAAGCTCCGTCAGGATCTAGTCGGTGGATTCCTTATAATAAAGCTGGCGTTTTCGTCTGAAGTTCGCTCAATATAGACAGCGACATTGACGATGCTTAAGGCAGTGAGAAATAGTGGAAGCTGATTGGTTGAATTGATTAACTGTCATTATGTCCACGTAGTGTGGAGTAGTGGATGTCGACCTTTCTATCGACCCTAGGACTTTCTCTACTGTCTTGGGAATGAGCGAAGAAAAAAAAAAGGGAGAAGAACGATGGATGGAACTGGGATTTTTGATGCAAGGCCCCCCTCCTTTCTGCGGTGTGTTCTGGGCTTTGTCATTGCTTGAGGGGGACTAATTCTGTAATTGTACATATCCTGGTTACACCGTTCTCAAAGCCAATAAAAACAAGCACCAAGCGTGTAGGTTAGACCACACACACACAGTTCACAATAATTCCTTGTCAAAATCCCTGCAGACCATAATCTTGTACTTTCAAAAGAATGCATTTTGTATGTGTATATTTTGTTTACAAGGTAACCATTATCAAAGTATCAATTTATTTTAAAAAACAACCTTTTTTGACTAGTTGTGTAAGATTTTTTGCAATTCTGGTGCCACATAAATTACACTGTTTAAACTTCTGCATGTAACTTGCCATTTCTACTGCAACTATTGTTTAGTTTGTCTGATATTTGAGCACACTTCTATTCAACAAAGTGGTCAGACTTTTTACCTGGCAGACAAAATTGGAAACTATATCATATAGAGACTGACTTTTGAAGCTTCAATGTCAACCTTCAAGATTTGTTGTCTTTTTTGTCTGTTTAATGGCTAAAATCCACTCAGACCACCTTAGCAGCATCTACAACATGACTGCATTGTGAAGGTGACTTTTGAGCTGGTACATTCTCATCAGAAAACACAAAGTTATGTTTTCCTGCTGTGCTGTAAATAAAATGTACTGAAATATTGAGTGAAACTTTATCAGCACCGCCTGCAGCCCCCACCACTTTTAGTTAAGTATGTAAAGCTCCAATGCGGGAATTTTTTCTTCTTCTCATGTCTGTTGGCTGGATGCTTTGCATGAACTGAAGCAGATTAAGAAGATACCAATGCCTGCAAGTAGAAACGCTGATATCAAACTCAGCCCGCGGGCAACATTCTAAGCTTTATTGACATTTATGACAAATATGCAAAGGGGAGGGGAAAGAGAGAGAAAGTGAAGAGAGAAGATAAAACAGATGAGGGATGGGGCCGATATCCATCCAAAAAAAGGGGGGCCCTATAGACTGCAGTTGCCAAGATAAACTTCCCTCAACAAACAGGTTCTCGGGCTGATCTTTATTAGGTTTAGGAGGGGCACATTCTCTCGGCCTGTGAGCGTGAAGACAGACGTTGTTGCTGTTCGGAGGGCTTAGAGTAAAGACAGACTCGACCACATGACAATGGCATGACTACAGTGAGAAACACCACTGAGGTCAGAGGGAGTGTGGGAGACATGTACAGAAGATTGCACGCATATTTGGTTTATGGCTAATTTATTAGCATGCATTTATTGAAATATTACTTTTCACTGCTTTGCTAGTCGTTCTGACAACGTATGTACTCATATTTTAGATTTACTGCTTGAATGTGAGGAATACCTTTACAAAATGTACTTGGGCAGCACCTTGGTGCAGTAATTGTATCAGATGATATCATCATTATTTATGTATCATGGAATTTACATGGTACCGTAAGGTCAATGTTACACAAACAAAACATAGCAAGGCATTACAATGATACCATAATAATTATAATTTTTAGTATTATTGAACTATTCAGCATTAAATTGATCAAAAAGGCATTTATAATGTTACACACAAATTCTATTTTAAATAAATGCTGTCCTTTAACTTATTATTATCTTGAGCAGCAAATCAGCATATTATACATTATTACTGTATTTTTGATCAAATAAATGCAGCCTTTGTGAGCAGAATAAACTTCTTTCTAAAACCTAAAAAAAAACCTTAATGACCCCCAAACTTTTGAACGGTACTAATTCATATTATTAACAATATAAAATAAACTTACATATGCTAATGTAATGTAATGTAATGCTAGAATTTTGTTTAAAACTACTTTTTACATTTCGATTCCAGAGGTTGTGCACAAACGTCCAACATGAGCTGTAGAATTGCTTTCCTCATCTTCAAAAAAAAGTTCACTTTAACGTGAAAACCGTAGAAGAGCTTCAGTGCTTTAGGGAAATATTGTTCATTTAGTGTTATTGTTGTGAGACTGAATGTGTGGTTACAGATGTAATCTGAGATATTGTGTGCGGTGTCGTCTCTTACCGCGGTAAGGAGTTGTATTGCCTCTGGGCTTGAGTAAAAGAGTCCTCTCTCTGTTTCTGCACTTGCACCTCCACAGAAACCGAATGCCGCCCCGTCGGTGTGTAAGAACCTGTGTTGGCCTGAAATGTGAAAAAAACATTCCTGTTACACACAAATAGTATGAAAACAGTATAAAGCATCTTAAAACATCGCTTTTTGTGTTCCCACAGCAGAAAGAAAGTCATACAAGATTTGATAAGCACAGCATCATTTCAGATTTCATGGTCAGGTATAGGGGTTTAATAATTGATGAGGGGCTCTTGATCACTACCGATTCTTCCTAAAACACAAGGTGCACTAATGAGAAGCGTGACTACCACACCCGATAGCAATTAGCCTCGAGTGCACTTGAGCTTCAAATGGCTGACTTCGCAGAAATAGCAAATGCTGCATTAATGCAGAGAGGCGAACATTTAAACGATTCATAAGACGATGTTATGGGGGGAAACAGAAGTGTTAAACATTATGGCGATGGTTTTACAACATCCTGGAGAATCAGGCAATTTTATCCATGTCTGATGAAGGCTGAGCAACATCTCCAGTGAGACACAATTTAATAGCTAAAGGCCCAGGAAAATTTCTTCATTTGCAACATATTAAGCCAAAAACAGAGAAAAGGAAATGCTTTTATTGTGAGCTAGAAGCAACAATGAAGTAATTATTCATAGTGAGATGTTTTAATGAGATTTGGACTGAAAAGACACTGAAGCAAGTAAAAATCAGGTTTGTGTGAGAGAAAGTGTGTGTCTTCTAATGTCTCTGTCCACATACACACACTATACAACATGACATCATGACTTTGCGTAAACATACACGCCACTTTCAAGTCAAGTGGCGTGTTATCTATACGCATTTTGAGCTATCCGCGTGTATGTCCACGCCGAAATCTTTTGCGTGTATGTCTACGCCATTAAATGTCCGAGTGATTCCGCGTGTATGTGTACGCCGTTAAATGTCCGAGCGAAACGAAGCAAAATCTATATCTACATCTGTGGAGCGATATTTCTTTTCCTAGGATGGTAGGAGAAGACTCATAAATGGTATTAACCCCAGTGACGGGTAGGTTTAGGGACGGGTAGGTTTAGGGACGGGGTTGGGGTAGGTCATATATTTATATATACATAATACAGTAATATAACGTTAAGTCAAAGGCGTTGATAAACACGTTGAAAAGCGATTATGCGTGTTGATAGCACGCCAAAAATGGAAATACGAATTGGCGTGTCATACATACGCCATTTCATGAGATCAGCACTATAGCTAAATATGGTTGTCAATCCTCCTCTGTACACACACAGTTTGGAAATTTACCAAAACTAAATTAACTCATGAAAAATTCAAGTTGTGACAACCAGTGTTAGAAATAAAAAGGGATAATAATGTTTGCCATCTAAAATTTAGTTCAGTGGCATGTTAACCTTTATGATGCCATTTTTAACCACATTTAGTCAATTCATGTAAAACACTTTCAATGAATCTTACTTTCAAAGAAAAATGAATAATCTCACTTTCAATTAAACTTATATTCCAGCTTTTCGCTAAAAATTAAATACCAGCAGCAAAACACAATGAACTTCCACAGTACTAATTCAATGGCAGTTCAGAATAACAGCATTACACTGCATGTAGAACCTGATTTTTTAAAAGTTAATCAGTTCGATGCTTATAAAAACATGAAAGCATGACATCTCCAGATCTCTCTCATTAATCACACAAAATGTATCACTTTTTGTCAACTCTTTTCGGACACAGAGCAGACAACAATACGAAACCCACCTGAACAAACAACAAAAAGTGGCCTAATAGAGAGACAAGACATAATTATAAAAAATTGTCCACAGCAGTTCAGAGCAAGAAAGCATGACACAGCTGGATGGAGAGTGGAGGTAGCTTGCCGGACCCAGACTTCAAAATCACGTATAATCGTTACGATTACAGCGCGGCGTGACCCGTAGCCTTTAATATCAAAGACTGGTTCGGCTCGCGGTGCAATGGGGGGGTCAGAGTACACACATGCTCCATGTGCAACAATATTTACTGCGCTATACACTCAACCACTTCCAGAAACCCGCTCCGACATATGGATTTAATTTGTGAACTGATGCACTTGACTGGGTGAGTGCGAAAAAACAGAGATAAAGAAAGGATAGAAAGCAGAAGTCAGGAAAAAGTGAAGGAATAGAAAATTAGCATGTCATTCTGCAAAAAATGTATCATTATTAGCAAGTTATGACAACACTGAGGTGTCTGTATCACGTTAAAATAAAGGACAGGAAAATAGAGAATGTGAAAGTGACAACAGCTATAGACAGACTCATCATTCCTTTCATCCCTTAGAAACTCACTTTTCTGCTCGAGTGCTTGTACACTAGGGAAGGTTTATCTATATCATTTAGAGCCAGAACGCTCTAGCAGCCACTCAGAACACCTTAACAGCATAGCAGCTTGACAAAAGGACACGCTAACAATGCACTGAAAACAATACAAATGCACAACCGTAGCAACGATCCAAAACACCCTGGCATGGCGACACTAAGGTAACTCGGATAATACCTAGCAACATTTTAGAAACCTCCCAGAACCAGGGTGTAACAACACACTAAAACACTCAGATAACCACCCAGCAACAACTCAGGACCAAAAGGACCCAAGCAACTACACAGCAAAAACACCAATAACACCCTAATAATAACCTAACAACACCATAGAAACCTCTCAGAGGACGCCCAAAACTGCATAGCAACGCATTAAAACACCCTAAAAACCACCTAGCAACACCATAGAAACCTCTCAGAGGATCCCCAAAACTCTATAGCAACACACTGAAACACCCTAAAAAACACCTATAGCAACACCATAGAAACCTCTCAGAGGATCCCCAAAACTCTATAGCAACACACTGAAGCACCCTAAAAACCACCTAGCAACACCATAGAAACCTCTCAGAGGATCCCCAAAACTCTATAGCAACACACTGAAACACCCTAAAAACCACCTAGCAACACCATAGAAACCTCTCAGAGGATCCCCAAAACTCTATAGCAACACACTGAAACACCCTAAAAAACACCTATAGCAACACCATAGAAACCTCTCAGAGGATCCCCAAAACTCTATAGCAACACACTGAAGCACCCTAAAAACCACCTAGCAACACCATAGAAACCTCTCAGAGGATCCCCAAAACTCTATAGCAACACACTGAAACACCCTAAAAAACACCTATAGCAACACCATAGAAACCTCTCAGAGGATCCCCAAAACTCTATAGCAACACACTGAAACACCCTAAAAACCACCTAGCAACACCATAGAAACCTCTCAGAGGATCCCCAAAACTCTATAGCAACACACTGAAACACCCTAAAAAACACCTAGCAACACCATAGAAACCTCTCAGAGGATCCCCAAAACTCTATAGCAACACACTGAAACACCCTAAAAACCACCTAGCAACACCATAGAAACCTCTCAGAGGATCCCCAAAACTCTATAGCAACACACTGAAACACCCTAAAAACCACCTAGCAACACCATAGAAACCTCTCAGAGGATCCCCAAAACTCAACACACTGAAACACCCTAAAAAACACCTGCAGCAATGCCTTTTTTTAGAAACCTTTTCTGAAGATGCTAGAAACTGCATAGCAACACATTAAAACACCCAGAACACCAAAACTATAGCAACACCTTAGAAAGTTCCCAGAAGACCACATAAACTGCATGATGACATATTAAAAACCCAATACCTCCTTAATAACCACCGAACAACACCTTAGAAACATCCCAGAAAGTATTCGCAACTGCATAGCAACACACTAAAACACCCAGAACACCCTAATAACTACCTGACAACACCTTAGAAACGTCAAATGCTGGCATCTGCATAAAAACATACTAAAACACCCATCACACTTGAATAATGACCTAGCAACAAAACCACATAAACTGCATAGTAAGTTAACATATTAAAAACCCAAGAACATCTTAATAACCACCTAGCAGCACCTTAAAAACCTCCCAGAAGATATTTGCAACTGCATAGCAATACACTAAAACACCACAATAACTACAGTATAACAGTTTAGAACTGTTATGTACGGTTATACATAATAACCGTTTAAAAAAACTCATGATTTATTAGCCTGGATGTCATAAAATGGCCCTTAGTGTCTCTCAGACCCTAAACATGAGGGTGAAGGGTTGAATGTGTATTGCACTGGGATCTGAGTTCAGTTCAGAACAGATAGTCCCCACATCCCCTGTAGGCAATCTCGATTTTATCATCTAGCTCTAAATCTTCTGAACGTGGAGGGATATGAAAGAGTAGGAAGGCAATCCACGTATATTTCACAGGGGGGACACTAATCTCTAACCTGGAGTGTAGTTATCTATCCACTGTCGGCTCATTATCATGTTGTACACTTCTTTTCGCCTACATGCAGCAAATGTTCATTGAGCTTACAGTATGTTCCTGCAGTGCTGATTTAGAATTGAGAAGATAACCTCATCTAAACATTGGCCGTAGTGGGTCGACTGAACAAGGACATTTCGGTTTCCTGTGGGGTTTATAATCAAAGAAAACATGCTGGTTCCTCTGAATCCTGAAATCAATGGCATTCTTTCGAGTCACGAAATGCTTGCCAGCACTGAGGTCCTTGTAAAAGAGGAGAAAAGGACACAAACACGGGCCTAATTTGTGCGTGTGTGTGATCTGCACCGGCATAATACTTCCGTCCCTTGTGTGGTCTCCGATCGTCTTAACAAAAGATTGATGTTTATTGGTTGAGACAGGCCGGCAAGCCTCTGGAAAGAACATGCTCTTTATGACAAACATCTGGAAAAGCCCCTTTCAAAGTCATAGCGAAAAACGCTGGGCGTGATATACAAGGGAGGCATAACAAGACACGTCTAATTGTCTATTTACCGGTGGAGGTCTGTGACAGGTTCTGGCCATGGGGCGATTATCGGCGATCTGGGATGGCAGCTCGTCGCCACACATAAAAACCTGATGACGGGTTTCTTTCAGTCCTCAGGGGATTGTGAACACAGAGAACACACCTTAATCACTGTCCTAATGTGCGTCTCATGCTGTCAGAACTCACGCTGGGTTTGAAGGATTATCTGGGGTGTACTTACCCATTTTTCTTCATAAAGAAATGAGAGGCGTTTGATGTGAAGTTGGGAGTTTTGCCACATAGCTACATATTTAAAAGGCAATCAATCATTGTTTCATGGCACTTTGATTTTATGTTGCACTTGAGGGACATTTCTGAATGGTGTAATGCACGGTATTTATAATCAAAGCTATAAATAACAACCAAGAGACTTTGTAACTAGGTGGTCACAAGTAAATGTTAATTAGTTGAGTGCTTTTCATATGAAAATAATAAATCTTACTGAAAATACAGTGGGGACACCATGGTATGATGATGATTGAAATGATAATCATATATATCATGGTATTTAGAAAGCACTCTAAGGTAGTTCAAATAATAATTCAGAATACCATGGTAGTACAGTGGTACTTGTAAAATAAATAAATCAAACAAAAAAACAGTACTACCATGGTTGATATCATTTTTTCAAACCATGCTATCTTAAAAAAGAATAATAATTGGTATTAAAACTAAAACAAAACAACAGTATTTAAATATTTGGTCCCACTTTATATTAAGTGGCTTTAAGTACTATGTACTTACATTGAAATTAATAATTTTATACAATGGACTTATTGTGTACATGCATGTTTTTACATTGTACTTATATTTTGAAAATACCTGCATGTAATTAATTTATGTAACTACATTTGTAATTACACTGTTGCCCCTTCCCTTACACCTTAACCCAACCTTAAGCCGACCCATACCACCACACCTGACCCTAACCTTACCCGTATCGCACCTCAAAAGCAGCACAAGTGTTTTACAATATAACCTGAACACAATAAGTACATTGTACTTACTTTTCGATGCAAGTACATAGTACTTAAAGCCACTTAATATAAAGTGGTACCATCTATTTTGTATTTAGGAAGGCATGTCTGTGTGTGTGTTATACTGTATATTATCTACTACACAAACAATAAGTAAGTAAGTATATATTTAAAATGCTAGAGCCCATGTCAAAAATCCAATGGTATCCCAAAAGGGAAAAAGGCCATGGTAATACAGGTACATGTCCAAAACACTATGGTAATTCAGTGGTCCTTTTATAAAAACGTATCATTACTCATCTGATGTTGAACAAGTTTTCACTGTTACATCAGTGCACCAAAAATCATTTCTGGATGCTCTCAGAGGAACATGTGACTTTGTTTTGACAGTTTTATATTGTCATTATATCAAGCTTATGGCAGTAGGATCAACAAGACTGTTATGGCTACAAACGCCTCCCTTGCGCTCTCTTACACTGCTTAACCATTATTCTCTCGACCTGCCGCTACGACTGACGGCTGTATATTTCTACAAGTCAACAGGACCACAGTGCTCATGAGCCCTCTCAGACCTTAAATCAGCGTCAAACCTGTTTGTATTCGCTTTGATGGAGTGTAATGCAATCCAGGGATGAAACACCTGGACCACCTGATTCCTTGTGATGTGAAAACTTAGCATTTCACTGTTTTTAGTAGAACCGTAACCACGATAAACACTGAAGGGGACTCACCTTTACATTTAATCTTGAATACTTGGTTACATCCTCAACACACCTCTCAGCTATTGTTTGACACAATTGTTTGCGTCAATAGCAAAGCAGCCTGTAGACCAGCGTGCCATACTGTACTGAACCTCAGTTTGAGAAATTTTGCCAAGATTTTCCCCACCTTTTTAGACTGGAGAGACTTTTTCCATACAAAAAACTACCAACAAATCCTTCACACAACCTGGGTACTGCAACGGTGCCAACCGCATGTAGAAAAAAGTCTAAACCGCAGACTTCAGGAAATTCACCCTTCTTATAATACCCTGAAAGACTCAAAGGCATTCCCTGGGTCCCACCTAGAATGTTTTGTTTTTTTAAACTAGTCCTGTTCAAACTGAGAGCCCGACCCATCAACTGTTAATACAGTAGACTTGAGACACGAGGGAGGGAGCTTATTCTAATTCTGAAAAATGTCTCTAGTCTTTAAGCAATGAAAACCATCACAAGCAATTAGGCACCTTCCAGCTTGACTCCTCTAGTTCGGTGCTGTGCAAACAACAGTGCTTTTACTTCCTGTACTAGAAGCCCCAGACACTGTGACACCATTAAGTACCAAGAGAGGTTTTTATTCATCTATACTGCAAACAGACAAGCTAAGGCTGTCAAATACAACCTAGTGCAAGTATAAGAGCTTGCTTATGAGACCATATGTATTCCTGAAGTGAAACACTACAGTCATAACTGGGACATAAGTTATGTCCTTTTGACATAACTGTCATTAAGTAGATTTATTCATTAAATATCTTTCATTAGCAGTGAGCAAAACCCATACACTCACTCTTTTTTGTGTAAGAGAGATACAACCCCTTTCTACAGACCAGTTTAATAGAGCCTAGGATATAGACTTGGGCCAGTAAAACAACCACCTTGTAACCACACAGAACTAGCAAACCCCCAGCACAACCTAGAAATCAACCATAACACCCTGGCAACCACCTAGCAACCATCCAGAATGCCCTAGCAACTACATAGCAATACCTTGGCAACAACCCACAAGACCCCAGTAGTGTGTCAGCGAAATTTCCAAGGACAAGCACCCCTCGCGTTTCAGAAAATGTAAAATTCTAGATTTTCTACTCTTCCATTTGGTGCCACTAGTGCCAAATAAATAACACACTTCACCTTTGAGCAAGTGGATTTTCATTATGCATCCATCATTAATCTTTAAGGTAAGTGTCTGAGATGCTGAATTTTATTTATTTATTTTTTGCTTCTGCTCTCTGCACTGATCTGAGTAAAACAGAACATCAATGCATTAATTGAGTTTAACACATTCTAATCTCTGTAGAGCTATTCAAGACCTGGAAGGAAAATGGAGGCCAAATATGTGTCGGAGAGGACAGGGTCAGAGAGCTGACCTCTAATTTAGGAAATGGTTCCATTCCTTGGGGTAATTAGGCTGTCATCTTTTAAAATCCCCTCCGTGCCTTTAACAGGAAGTCACAAGACAGACCGCCATGTCTGGCTCAGGCCATTACAGAGCAAAGATACACAGCTATTTGACCTTTGACCCCTTACAATTCCATTCCCAGCCTCTTGAGCAGTGTATATTATTTTAACTTGCTGATAAAGATAAAATAATGGCTAGCCTCTAACCTCTGACAATAAAATAATACACGGACTTTCAAGGACAAAATGTTAAAACACATTCACCTCTGTGCAGACCTAACAAATACAGGCAAGGTTGGGGGCAAATAAACTGTGAGATGCATTTTTGAAAGAAGATAAAATGAAAGCTGACAACAAATGCTCTTTTTCCCCCTCGAAAATGCTAAAGTAATCAAACTACCTCGGAACAAACACAACTCATGTGATCCCTGACAATATCTCATTATAATACATGTTGCCCTTTGCCCTGAACACCAAACACCAGGCTTTTGCACTCACCCTCTGTTGCTGTTGAAAGCTGTAGGATCGACGGCGGTCATCAGGTTCCTCCTCATGCTTGGCCTGCTGGAACTCTTGCCGTAGCCGATGTATCCGGTCATGGTTGCTAGGTGCCAGTCTGTTGCTATAGAGGAGAGAAGAAAAAAAAAAAGATCATATATCCTCATTTATGACATAACCAGTGGTCCAGACATCAACCTGAGAAGAACAATGACCAGATGGTACACTGCAGATGATATCAGCTTGAATAAAACATACAAGACGGTACAGTACAGCATGTTTCCTGATAAGAATACAGCTTGTTTCCTAAATCAATAGCATAAGCACCATTTGAGCCCATGTGCCCCTATCCATTTTGCTAAATTACACGTACGGACACAGTCCATTACTTTTTCCACATTTGGCTTGTGCTTGCCGGCATCATGAGAACATGAAACGGACCAAACGTTTCCGTGAAGGACTCCCCAGTGAACCATGGCCAATGATACATGTCCCTCTTACGACAGGGAGTCAAAGGCCCACATCTCAGCCCCGCTCCCCCTTCGAGAACTCGGAGAGACTCATTTGCATTCCTTTCATTAAGAGCTGGGGAAAGTGACCGTCAATGGGAATCAATATGCCTTGTCCCCCTAATCAAGCCCCGCTTTTTATCTACTCCACCACACGGGCTGCTGGTGACAAACCCCTCATTATGATACAACATCCTGTCTGAAAATACGGCTCATTTATACAGAGAGAGCAAAGGAGAACTAAGGAAGGAGATTCTCAAAAAGGGGGAGTTGGGGCACTCAATGAAAGCACAAAGAGGTAAATCATTAAGCTTGCAACAATATGGAGAACCAAGAAATAAAAGGACAGGATACAGATTTATCAAGATGTCATCTCTGTGTGGTGCTGATACAGGTGGCTAAGCCTCTACTGACGCTGATAGCTTACTTAAGATGAGATGTCTGGCCTAAATGTACTCATAATTGTAGATCACAAGCAGGAACAGCCCACTGACTGAAATGGCCACTCCGACACATTGCCAATCAACCTTCATTAAAACTACCGCTAAATGGCCTTCCATAAAAACCAAATGGAGCCGAATGAGAATCGTATGAGTGGTGATGACTGAACATCCTTGTCCTGTTGTTCCATGCAGCCATTAGAATCAATTGTATTAGCTTTACTTCATTTAACGCCCCATTCCAATATTCATATGTGATGGAGGAAGAGCTAGAGGGCCATCAAATGCATTTGCAAGGCGGTGAAAATAGAAGTGTTTTAAATTAAGCGAATCATTGAGCCGTATGCCGTGTGCATTTGGTTTTGCAAATACAGGCAGGTAATCTACTCGCCGTTTCAAGGATCAAATCCTATATGTGTCCATTTAAAATAGTGTTCTCACCATTACCAAGTATAATAATCCACTAAAACAGGCACAGGAAAGAATTTTAAATCCATTTTTAAAAGTGAGATACTATCAATATGAGAGTTTTGGGCCAAATGTAAGGCTGAATTTTAAATATGCCATTTGATAAGTTATCATAAAATGTGCAAAGTGTATTATCTTCACCCACTGACATTTGCTGACATTTTAGCAAAAGTAAAAACTTGAAAAAAGGCTTTACTCAAAGAAACGTCAAGCGGCTTCGAGAATGAATGAAGCTACGGATGGTAAAGTTAGAGGTAACTGTATGCGAGACATGAAATCTTTGCTGTGTAGTATGTTTCAAGTAATATTACAGTGTGTGTGGACAGATTACACTGCAAGGATCATAGACGTCTGTAGACTTTTGATGACCACTCTCAGCTGCATCTTTCTCACAAAGCAGTCAAAGCCTGAGAAAAATAAACAAATCACTCGGCCATTACTGCACATCTGTGAGGGGAAATTAATTTGGCCATTAGCTCCTGTAAACGTGTGATTACACATTAGCATCGGGTGGCAATGTGCCTAGTGTCTATGCTTGCGGCAAGAGGACCGCTAACAAGCTTTGAGCAGAACATAGGAAACTGGTAAACAAAGCTTTGACAGAGAGAACAAGAGAATAGAGATCAGCAAATGAACATGGTCTGGTCTTATTCATGACACTATTTTTCATAAGGAAATCTAATTATGTTGCAAACTATCTGCAGTATCATGTAACAGTGATGGCCAACATCAAAGAGTTAGCCATATGATTGGATTAAAACGTAATGTTTTTTCAGGGGACAGTCTTGACACTAAACCATCACTCCACACTCCTATTAAGGTCTTTGTTGTATGTATTGCCATCTTCATCCATTAGGAGATGGACAGGGAAGGTGCCATTAGCTTAATCTCCCTGTCTAGGAACAGCCTTCCTCTGACTCCAAAACAAACAGTAGAGATTTGGTCGTAAAAGCCCATGGAAGACCCTGCAAAGGTTAAAGTGACCATAAGCTGAGTCACTGAGTCTGGTAACCAGCTGAGGCTTGAGCTCAAACTAGTAAACAAACCAAATAACCGACCTTCATCCAACATCCAATGACCTTCCATGGTCATTGAAGAGATCAATTTAGAAAATGAAAAGTGAACTTTTACAGCCACAGATGTGGACAAGACCACTATCAGTGTCATAGGGACACCAGGAAATTACAAGATTGACAGACAAAGATGAAAATGATCTACTCATGGAATGGGGTTCAAAATGTGTGCCTCTACCAGATCAACAGGAGAATGGACCATATAAGCAGCATTTCAATTACAATTGGTCTCTTTGGACTATCGGTTATGAAATCCCCCCTGGAATTAGCAGTTGGAATCGTAAAAGAGTGCCCATGTGCGTTAAGTGCTGGCGGCCACCCATCTCATTTACTCTCCCTATTCAATCTTCCTTTAGAAAAGAAGACAAATCTTTCTATCTGTTCGCTGGAGTCCATGAATACTCCAACATCACTGCACATGATTAGACTCAGCACGCGCTTGACATCAGGTGTAGTGTGGGTTATAAATACCTATGGGCATGCATCATTGTCAGCCACAGGGCCCGGCTAAACAAGACCTCACAAAGACCTGCAGCAATTTGCGTCAATAAAGCAGCGACAATTAGAACAAATGCACCCATAAGCCAAACAATGGAGGTGGGTGAGGAGGCGGCGGAGTATGAGGGGAGGATGATGAGGGATCGCTTTCCCCAGCCTCTTGTTTATGCATCAGATTAAAGGTCAGGCGGTATGCAACCTGAAGCCAGCTTAAAGGACGGGCCTGTGTTGTTTGAGAGATAGCGTTCAGTCGAGCCTCTCCGGGCTTGGGACATCTTCATGTTTATTTTCGTCTCTCCTCCTCAAAGAAAGATTCAAGGGGAAAACAGTCTGACAGTAACCCAATTAAAGGCAAAGAAAGATAAAATATCCATATGCCACACCATTTAACAAGCCAGCAGTTTCATTCTCCCAATACAATGAAACTCATTCAATATCTGTCTGTGTGTTCTCTGACTGAAAGGTCAGTTTGCGATAGTCCGCACCCCGTTTGCTCTACCCTTCCCCCTCCTTTTCTTGTTCGTTGTATTCTATCATTTTCTACGCACACCCTTTCCCGCTCATGACTCTTTCTCAATATGCTGAATAACACCTTTTGCCTGTTTACTTTACGGCCCCAGAAAGCAATTTCTCTGAAGACAGAAGGTTATTGTTGCAGATTAAACTCTCTGAATCGAGTGTGATGCATGGGTAGCACTGACATCAGAGGCATCTGACTAAACAGGGCTCCTCACCTGTTCTTGCTCAGAGAAAACTCAATGTGACAACACTGAGATAATGCCTAGTTAAAACCGTAACGAAAGGAGGGAAAAAAAGAAACCAAAGCGGCAGAACCCCACTGGGAGACATCAAGTGAAGCGGTCCAAGTTATTACCATGTGCTTTATGGATTCAGTGCTTGTAGATTGGCAGAGCGATTTGGTCTGGAAGTAGAATGTGGAATGCTATGCGAATGGAAGAAATGAATGTATCCAATCTTAAGTCTGATGTAGGAAATTTTTCGCTTATAAACTGTCGAAAAGCACCTGCGACACTGACGTATGAATGCTTGTTTCTTTTTCTGTGACCGTCTTGTCTTTGGGTTGGTCATGTTGTGCTTCTTTACTGGAGAATCCATATAAAATGATGTCCATCAGGACATAGTTTTGACCTGTTTTGTACATGGGTTTAGCTGTTCATTAGGTGACCCAAGCTATAGATGGGCAGATGGACTACCAGCTGGTTTTGACCTGGAGGACCACCTTGGTCAGCAAGCTGGCCATTTATTGTCATTAACTGGTTTATATGATTAATCAAATAGACTACCAGTTAATAGATCTAGTTTGGACCTAGTAGAGGCTAAACCACCTTGAACTATCAACAAACCAGTTACCATGTTTAATAAGACTGCTTGTCCCCTGATTTTCCTATGAAGTATCTCTGGTTCTGTCCCCAATGCCCCCTTCAACATAGTTTCAACAACACACACCCACACACACACACAGAGAGAGAGAGAGAGAGACTGAAAATGTTGATACCCGATGTACAATTCCAATTCTTTTTATCAGACTTATTGTCAGTTTGATATTCTGTCAGACTATCTGGTTTCTTTCCATGTCCTCCAAATCTTCATAGCAGATATGGGAGATGAAAAGAAGGGTTTGCTTTTGCCCTCAGTCATATTGCATCAACTCAAAGCTTAAGTCATATTAATTCTATACCCCTGCGGACTCAATTCCCTTCAAAGACTGTCATATCTATCGGCTCCCTTCATAGATCTGTACAGATGGCATGGACAGATTAAATCAGAAATACTGCTGGTCATTTTCAGGGATAAAACAAAAGTTAACTTTTTATCACTTATCTTTACAGGAAATAAATGAGCATCAGACAATCTACAATAGAACAAAACAGAGCCCAATCAGACTCAACAACAGTCATGTATAGAGTCGGAATTTTAATGTGACTGCAACTTTCTTTGGTCAATTGAATTTGAAGTTGTTTTATTCTCCTCGCGTTAATTCAATCTTTCTCGTCTTCATTCTTTTGAGTTTTCCCTTTCTTCATCATGGCCTGCTTTCCTTTGTCTCATTTATCTCTTTTATCTTCCCCCAGCTCTTCCTTCCTTTTTCCTTCTGATCATGCTATATCTGATGCC